CATTGCATGACTGTTTCCCTGACCCATCTATGGCCAGCCCCAAGCATTGCATGACTGTTTCCCTGACCCATCTATGGCCAGCCCCAAGCATTGTATGACTGTTTCCCTGACACATCAATGGCCAGCCCCCAAGCATTGCATGACTGTTTCCCTGACCCATCTATGGCCACCCCCAAACATTGCATGACTGTTTCNGTGCAAAACCCATCCTGGTGGCAAGACAGAATCCTGACCCATCTATGGCCAGCCCCAAGCATTGCATGACTGTTTCCCTGCCCCATCTATGGCCAGCCCCAAGCATTGCATTACTGTTTCCCTGACCCATCTATGACCACCCCCAAACATTGCATGACTTTTTCCCTTTCCAATCTACGGCTACCCCGAAACATTGTATGACTTTTTCCCTGTCCAATCTATGGCCACCCCCAAACATTGCATGACTGTTTCCCTGACCCATCTATGGCCACCCCCAAACATTGCATGACTTTTTCCCTGTCCAATCTACGGCCACCCCCAAACATTGCATGACTTTTTCCCTTTCCAATCTATGGCCACCCCAAACATTGCATGACTTTTTCCCTGTCCAATCTATGGCCACCCCCAAACATTGCATGACTTTTTCCTGCCCAATCTTAGATTACTGTTCTTACAATTTGTGGGACACGTGTCTTTGTTATAAGAAACACCAGTCATGTGTATTATCTTATCTACTTTCAGGGAGAAGCTCAGAAGATTGAAAGACTCATGGAGGTAAATAATGATGTACCGGTATTTACGCTATTCTCAAATTATTTATCTTTCATTTATTTTGATTTTGAGACATCATACTGTGTATGCTGGAATCCTATTGGGATATGTTTGCAGGGGGTTGTATAGGTTAAGGTCACTAGTTCAGAGGTTAAGGTCACTGCAAAGTCACTTCAGTTTAGATTAGACTAGATTTTACAAAATTTGGTGTATTTCATTGGCCTAAACTTCTCAAAATTCCATCGTGATATCTTATAAAAATATTCTAGCCAGAGATAGGTACTAGATAAGTTCTGATTTTGATAAAATGTTCAAGGTCATAGATGGATTGTCATCAGAGCTAAACTTTGTTGAAATGCTTGTGAACAAGCTTTGGTAAATACAGATTGATCAAACCTATTTACAGGTAAGTTTGATAAGTTTATAATTTAATAAGATTTTAGGATGAAAGTTTATGTTTGGTCAGTTCCTTCAGCGCTAGTTTCTTGCTCTCCTCAGGACGAAGAGATGTCGGGGCTAAACCAGTTAGTGATGTGAAGGATATGTTTGGTCAGTTCCTTTAGCGCTAGTTTCTTGCTCTCCTCAGGACAAAGAGATGTCGGGGCTAAACCAGTTAGTGATGTGAAGGATATGTTTGGTCAGCTCCTTTAGCGCTAGTTTCTTGCTCTTCTCAGGACGAAGAGATGTCGAGGCTAAACCAGTTAGTGATGTGGTGGATATGTTTGGTCATCTCCTTTAGCGCTAGTTTCTTGCTCTTCTCAGGACGAAGAGATGTCGAGGCTAAACCAGTTAGTGATGTGAAGGATATGTTTGGTCAGCTCCTTTAGCGCTAGTTTATTGCTCTTCTCTGGACGAAGAGATGTCGGGGCTAAACCATTATATATACCATATTGATGTGAAAGATATGTTTCTTTCCACAGGCATTTGCATCAAGATACTGTGTTTGCAACCCAGATCAAGTCAAGAATTTCAAAAACCTAGATGTTGTGTTCCTTCTGGCCTTTGCTATCATCATGCTCAACACAGACTTGCACAACTCCAATATTAAGGCAGAGCGCAGGATGAAGGTGGAAGACTTCATCAAAAATTTACGAGGTTTGCATTCTAATTTCCTTGACTGTTGATGTCCATTTTTAGCCCACCATCATCTGATGGTGGGCTATTCAAATCACCCTGCGTCCGTGGTCCGTGGTCCGTCTGTAAACAATTTTGGTTATCGCTATTTCTCAAGAAGGACAAAAGGGATCTTTCTCAAATTTTATATGTAGGTTCCCCTTGGCCCTTAGCTGTGTAGGGCATTTTTTGAGACTGATCGAATAATCAACATGGCCGACAGGCAGCCATCTTTGATTTTGATATTGAAAGTTTGTTATCGCTATTTCTCGGGAAGTATCAGAGGGATCTTTCTCAAATTTTATATGTAGGTTCCCCTTGGTCCTTAGCTGTGCAGGGCAACTTTTGAGATTGATCGGATAAACAACATGGCCGACAGGTAGCCATCTTGGATTTTGATAGTGTGGGTTTGTTACCGCTATTTCTCCGGAAGAACTAGAGGGATCTTTCTTAAATTTTATATGTAGGTTCCCCTTGGTCCTAGCTGTGCAGGGCAATTTTAGAGACTGATCGGATAAACAACATGGCCGACAGGCAGCCATCTTGGATTTTGATAGTGAAAGTTTGTTATCGCTATTTCTCGGGAAGTACGGGAGGGATCTTTCTCAAATTTTAAATGTAGGTTCCCCTTGATCCCTCGTTGTGTATGTTATATTTTGAGACTGATCATAAAAACAAAATGGATTAAAAGAAGAACTAAACAGATCTTTCTCATATTGCAATGATCGATTCTATTTCTTTCACATTAAGTACTGTACTAGTAAATATGTGAAATGACAAACTCACTTTGAAGGTTGGCTTTCTTACACATCAGTATTAAGTTTAGATCAAAAGTTACCTCAAGGTGCATTTACTGTTAACATGACTCGATCAAACAGATTAGAGGAAAGAAGAGAAAAGATCGAACTGACAAAGAACTAATGAAGATGGTACAAAGGTGGTTTGGAAATCTCAATACGTATCATGATTGGTAGTTTACTGGTAATATCCTGAATATCCCTGAGTTTGGCTGTGTTGTTTATCATATTTGATGAGGAAGATACTTGAATCTTTACAGGTATAGACGATGGAGATGACGTAGATCGTGACATGCTGGTCGGAATCTACGAGAGGATAAGCCATTCGGAGCTACGTCCAGGTGTCGACCACGTTACCCAGGTGATGAAGGTGGAACAGACCATCGTCGGCAAGAGACCAGTAAGTGCTGCACCGATAGACATTACAATGGGTTCAGGATAAGTCCTGTTCTAGTACTAAGGCACTTGTCTTTTTTCACTGAGATTATTTATGGAACTATCAGAACTCATTTGCTACTAAAAACCTTACCAAACAACTTTCTTCTTTTCCATGCTGACAAAGAAATCTAGATTAACGATATTTTAAGAACAAATTTTACTGCAAAAGTTTTTAACCAACATTTTNCTCAGGTGACCGTTAAGGCCCATGGGCCTCTTGTTAAATATAATATTAAAACTGATATTGAAAGACTAAGAGTGATTGATATACATTGTAATGGCACTTTGTTTTTAATTTCCAGCAACTGGCCCTATCCCACAGGCGACTGGTTTGTTACTGCCGACTGTACGAGGTACACGACCCGCAGAAGAAGGAGAAGGTTGGCCTTCACCAGAGGGAAGTATTCCTCTTCAACGACATTATCTTTGTAAGTCTGGCTACATTACCTTTGTAAGTCTGGCTACATTATCTTTGTAAGTCTGCCTACATTATCTTTGTAAGTCTGGTTACTTTACCTTTGTAAATCTAGGTTTATATTGAAATTCTAATGTGTGAAGCAGAGAAGTAGAACATAAGGATGACAATTTATTGTGGTAAAGTACAGTCTAGCCTGCTTGAGACACCATCTGAACCATGTGTATTAAAGACCACCTGTGTTAAGTGACCACCTGTGTTAAGTGACCACTTGTGGTAAGAGACCACCTGTGTTAAGTGACCACCTATGTTTAGTGACCAGTAAAACTTTCCTTTGCTGTTAATTTTATGCTAACTGAACCATTGCAATAATAATGAATCTACTTAATGAAATTCCTGAAGTTTTTTTTCTGAATTCTGTTTTGACTGACAGATATTTTTCTCCGTAGCTTGCACTTGCGTAGTGTTACATGCTGTTTTGTTTGAGAAGGATTGACTAAGAAATGATTTAAAAAATATTGTTTTGTATTTTTCTAGGTAACAAAAATCTTCAGTAAAAAGAAGACTGGTATAACATATGCATTTAAGCAATCCTTCTCTCTATGTGGTATGCAGGTATTCCTGTTTGAGACTCCACGTAAGTACACAGCTATTGACTTCAATGACATGGTATCGGTTCACTGTGTAACATTGACCCAGCTGTTCTTGGTACCTGTGTTACAGGTGACTTTTAGCTCATCTGTAAGGTGAGATTTGTGAGCACTTTACATCTGTCACCCGTTCATCTGTTTATCTGTTGACTTTTCACGTTTCAACATCTTCGTAGGATTTCAGTGAATATTTGTCTAAACTAAATGGTCTGTGCCATGGGTAAACATTTACACAATGACAATTTGCTGTATTGATATGTTGTTCTATAGCTTGAATTGACTTGTTTAAACATTTCACTGCTGATCAATATTTCATCTTGTTCACACGTTACATAACGGTGCATTTCGTGAATGGGAACTTGAATAAATTAACCATTTGTGTAATCCCACTTAATATATATCAATATCAGGATTTCAGAATCATTATAGTATTGCATCTGTAGTTGATAAGCTAGTTTTTTAGTATATTAGCTATTTTAGGTAGGTGATAATGATATGTTTGGACAAGTTATCTAAATAATTCCATACCATTATTAACGAGCATGTCCTTTGTTTGCGGTAGTGTTGACCTGTAGACCAGTGTTGTTGGCTCAGCTTTTCTCATTGTGGACACAAATCAATAATTTAATTCAATATCACTACCAAAGTACCACAATTGGTTAAGGGTAGCATTTTGGCTTTGAATGATTTTCAAGGTAGGTAGGTAGGTACTACAGGCCTATTGAACCTTTATATATACAAGAGTTACTGCCCCTTTCTGATCTGCTGATAATATGATTAATCTGGAAATAAATTTATAATTCATTTTCACAAAGTTCTTTGTATCCATGATCAAAAGTTTAATAGCCCGGGAAATAGTGCAATCCTGTTTACATTGAAGAATACAACCATTTAGTAAATAAAGAGATGAGAACACAGGTTTAAAGCCTACAAACTCTCACAGATCCACTATTTGTTAATGACTACTGTTTTCGTTAATAGATTATCAATACGGTGTGCGGTTAAACAACAGCCTAGATGGAAAAGTATTTATGACATTCAATGCCAGGAATGACCATGACCGGCAAAAGTTTGTGGAAGACCTTAAGGAAGCCATCTTAGAGGTAATGTGTCAAATTTTCTTTCATTTTTCCATTATCATATTTAGTCAAAGGTGAAAAAAAGAAATTACAATGTTTTTTTCAAGAAAAACCAGAATTATTTTAGGGGTTTAACTTTATCTACTGAAAAAAACTTTGTGTGAATCAGCAAAGTGGTTTATGCACCAGGTGTTTTTTCGGTTTATACTGCATAACCCCCAAAATAATCATGGTTATTCCTGGTAATTCAATTAAAGACACTTTTTAGTTCATAGTTAATAAATATTTATTAATTTCTGATAAAAACAAAGGAAATTTGCACAAAACAGCATTGTGCTGTAATTTAATTACTGAGTAAATTCAGCCAATAAGAAGTTAAAATTACAGATATCATTTAGGGCGTAGCCAAAACTAAATTATGAAAAAACATAAACAAAGGATCTTGTGCTTTCATATCTGAATTATATATTTAAATGGAAAAAATAACCATTGCTTTTGTTAACAGTCCAATGGAATGGAGCAGTACCGAATTGAGGAAGAGCTACAGCGCCATAGAGCCAAAAACAACACCATTGACCGTCACTACGCCAACGACGACTCCCGGGTACTAATGTACGAACTCTCGAAGCCATCTGATCCTACCTTAAATAGGTTGTCTGCCCCTGAATGTGGTGGCTTGAAGAAGCTCCCCCTATCCAACTCTCTCACTGACTTATGCGAAGGTACGCATGTGCATGTACTGGGTTTTGGTTATGTTTACTGCAAACTCCAAACTAAGTTCTAAAAATTAATAACATTAATTTACTTACATTCACTAAATAAGCTTGTGCTAAATCAAACATTCATTTTAAATTTCTTAACATCTCGTTGCTACTTAATTGCCTCATTTTACATTAATCCTCATTTGTCCGCTTCATGCCAGTTATAATCGTTTCATTAATGGTTTCTGAATCTTGTTGTACATTTTATTATGACATTATGAAGCAAAGTTGGTCGGAATTTAACAAAGAGTCAACTGACTTAAGGTCAAGGTAGAATATTGTATTTTTTTACTGATGAACATTTTTTTTATGTTATTATGAAGCAAAGTTGTTCAAAACTTAACACAGAGTCAACTGACCAAAGGTCCAGGTTACGGGGTCCAAAGGTTCAAAGTCAAGGTCAAGTTTTGTATTTTTCGCTGATGAACATTTTGTTATGATATCATGAAGCAAAGTTGGTCGGAATTGAAGATTAAGTCAACTGAGCAAAGATCAGGGTCACTGAGTTAAAGGTCAAGGTCATTTGGGTCCAAAGGTCAAAGACAAAGTGGGTCTCTGACTTTGACCCTGGCTCTTGATGGGGGAGGTATTTAAGGTGAACTAAAACAAATCAATTGCACCAGTATTTACATTTCTGTTAGCCCAGCAAATATATATATGGAGGTAGAAGGAAACAAGACTCACACCATGGTACATGTCAAATGTATATTTTGCTTTCTTGCAATTTTTTTTGAAGTCCAAATGTCAAACGTCAAGCTCAGCTATATGGGCAGATTGCTTCTTGATGATTATGGGGGATATATTGCCACAAGACGTGGGCTCTTACTGACCTGTCAGTGTTCTAGTTATACCTTAATCCTAGGCGTTCGATGTGCCAAATAAGGAGTATAATTGTATATCTACTTCCAATGCTGCTTATCATTTTGTTAACGAGTCTTGCTGAAGTCCTGTTGTCAATGTGAGTTTTCACACAATGTGCTCCTGCCATTTCTTCAGTGTTTTTAGTCAGGAACATTTTGCAAAGGGGTCGTTTTTTTCTCCAAAATCATAATATTTCATAGAAGTTGGTAAATGACAATATAAAAAAAAATATTGAGTCTAAATGCGTTACTTATACAAAAATAAAATGTTTCTTCTTTCCTAATGATCTGGCTGTCACACTTGATTGACTAATGATCTGGCTGTAACACTTGATTGACTAATGATCTGGCTGTCCCACTTGATTGGCTAATGATCTGGCTGTCACACTTGATTGTCTAATGATCTAGTGGCTGTCACACTTGATTGACAAATGATCTGGCTGTAACACTTGATTGACTAATGATCTGGCTGTAACACTTGATTGACTAATGATCTGGCTGTAACACTTGATTGACTAATGATCTGGCTGTCCCACTTGATTGGCTAATGATCTGGCTGTCACACTTGATTGGCTAATGATCTGGCTGTCACACTTGATTGACTAATGATCTGGCTGTCACACTTGATTGACTAATGATCTAGTGGCTGTCACACTTGATTGACAAATGATCTGGCTGTCACACTTGATTGACTAATGATCTGGCTGTCACACTTGATTGACTAATGATCTGGCTGTCACACTTGATTGTCTAATGATCTAGCTGTCACAATTTGATGACTATGCTCAGATATTGATCTGTCACACTTGAATGCTCTGGCTGTTCCCCTTAAATGATTATTGCTTTAGCTGTCACACTTGACTTACTATTGTTGTGACTGTCACACTTGCCTGATAATGCTCTTGCTGAGACACATGGTTGAAATTTGTTCCTGCTGTCATACCTACTGACTATTGCTCTGGCTGTTGAGTTGTTATGCTGACTGATATTTGCTCTAACTGTTGCGTTACGCTGACTGATATTTGATCTGGCTGTAGAGTTACGCTGACTAATGTTTGCTCTGGCTGTAGAGTTACGCTGACTGATGTTTGCTCTGGCTGTAGAGTTACGCTGACTGATGTTTGCTCTGGCTGTAGAGTTATGCTGACTGATATTTGCTCTGTCTGTTGATTTGTTATGCTGACTGATATTTGCTCTGGCTGTTGAGTTACGCTGACTGATATTTGCTCTAACTGTTAATTTGTTACGCTGACTGATATTTGTTCTGGCTGTTGAGTTGTTACGCTTACTGATATTTGCTCTGGCTGTTGAGGTACGCTGACTGATATTTGCTATGGCTGTTGAGTTACGCTGACTGCTGTTTGCTCTGGCTGTAGAGTTACACTGACTGATGTTTGCTCTGGCTGTTGATTTGTTCCACTGACTGATGTTTGCTCTGGCTGTAGAGTTATACTGACTGATGTTTGCTCTGGCTGTTTAGTTGTTACGCTGACTGATATTTGCTCTGGTTGTAGAGTTACGCTGACTGATATTTGCTCTAGCTGTTGCGTTACGCTGACTGATATTTGCTCTAACTGTTGCGTTACGCTGACTGATATTTGCTCTGGTTGTAGAGTTACGCTGACTGATATTTGCTCTGGCTATAGAGTTATGCTGACTGATATTTGCTCTGGTTGTAGAGTTACGCTGACTGATATTTGCTCTAGCTGTTGCGTTACGCTGACTGATATTTGCTCTAACTGTTGATTTGTTATGCTGACTGATATTTGCTCTGGCTATAGAGTTATGCTGACTGATATTTGCTCTGGCTATAGAGTTATGCTGACTGATATTTGCTCTGGTTGTAGAGTTACGCTGACTGATATTTGTTCTGGCTGTTGATTTGTTATGCTGTCTGATATTTGCTCTGGCTGTTGATTTGTTACGCTGACTGATATTTGCTCTGGTTGTAGAGTTACGCTGACTGATATTTGCTCTAGCTGTTGCGTTACGCTGACTGATATTTGCTCTAGCTGTTGCGTTACGCTGACTGATATTTGCTCTGGTTGTAGAGTTACGCTGACTGATATTTGCTCTGGTTGTAGAGTTACGCTGACTGATATTTGCTCTAACTGTTGCGTTACGCTGACTGATATTTGCTCTAGCTGTTGCGTTACGCTGACTGATATTTGCTCTAGCTGTTGCGTTACGCTGACTGATATTTGCTCTGGTTGTAGAGTTACGCTGACTGATATTTGTTCTGGCTGTTGGTTTGTTATGCTGACTGATATTTGTTCTGGCTGTCGCCTTGTTACGCTGACTGATATTTGCTCTAGCTGTTGCGTTACGCTGACTGATATTTGCTCTGGCTATAGAGTTATGCTGACTGATGTTTGCTCTGGCTGTAGAGTTATGCTGACTGATGTTTGCTCTGGTTGTAGAGTTATGCTGACTGATGTTTGCTCTGGCTGTAGAGTTATGCTGGCTGATATTTGCTCTGGCTGTTGAGTTACGCTGACTGATATTTGCTCTGGCTATAGAGTTATGCTGACTGATATTTGCTCTGGCTGTTGAGTTATGCTGACTGATATTTGTTCTGGCTGTTGATTTGTTATGCTTGACTGATGTTTGCTCTGACTGTTGAGTTGTTACGCTGACTGATGTTTGCTCTGGCTGTTGAGTTGTTACGCTGACTGATGTTTGCTCTGGCTGTTGAGTTGTTACGCTGACTGATGTTTGCTCTGGCTGTTGAGTTGTTACGCTGACTGATGTTTGCTCTGGCTGTTGAGTTGTTACGCTGACTGATGTTTGCTCTGGCTGTTGAGTTGTTACGCTGACTGATGTTTGCTCTGGCTGTTGAGTTGTTACGCTGACTGATGTTTGCCCTGGCTGTAGAGTTACGCTGACTGATGTTTGTTCTGGCTGTTGAGTTGTTACGCTGACTGATATTTGCTCTGGCTGTTGATTTGTTATGCTTGACTGATATTTGTTCTTGCTGTTGATGTGTTATGCTGACTGATGTTTGCTCTGGCTGTAGAGTTATGCAGACTGATGTTTGCTCTGGCTGTTGGTTTGTTATGCTTGACTGATATTTGATCATGCTGTTGATTTGTTATGCTGACTAATATTTGCTCTGGCTGTTGAGTTGTTCTGCTGACTGATATTTGCTCTGGCTATAGAGTTATGCTGACTGATATTTGCTCTTGCTTTTGAGTTATGCTGACTGATATTTTCTCTGGCTGTTGAGTTGTTACGCTGACTGATGTTTGCTCTGGCTGTAGAGTTATGCAGACTGATGTTTGCTCTGGCTGTTGATTTGTTATGCTTGACTGATATTTGATCATGCTGTTGATTTGTTATGCTGACTAATATTTGCTCTGACTGTTGAGTTACGCTGACTGATATTTTCTCTGGCTGTTGAGTTGTTACGCTGAATGATATTTGCTCTGGCTGTAGAGTTACACTGACTGATGTTTGCTCTGGCTGTTTAGTTGTTACGCTGACTGATGTTTGCCCTGGCTGTAGAGTTACACTGACTGATGTTTGCTCTGGCTGTAGAGTTATGCAGACTGATGTTTGCTCTGGCTGTTTAGTTGTTACGCTGACTGATGTTTGCCCTGGCTGTAGAGTTATGCTGACTGATGTTTGTTCCGGCTGTTGACTTGTTATGCTGACTGATGTTTGCCCTGGCTGTAGAGTTACACTGACTGATGTTTGCTCTGGCTGTTGAGTTGTTACGCTGACTGATGTTTGCTCTGGCTGTTGATTTGTTATGCTTGACTGATATTTGTTCTTGCTGTTGATTTGTTATGCTGACTGATGTTTGCTCTGGCTGTTGAGTTGTTATGCTGACTGATATTTGCTCTGGCTGTAGAGTTACACTGACTGATATTTGCTCTGGCTGTTGAGTTATGCTGACTGATATTTGCTCTGGCTGTTGAGTTGTTATGCTGACTGATATTTGCTCTGGCTGTTGATTTGTTATGCTGACTGATATTTGCTCTGGCTGTTGAGTTACGCTGACTGATATTTGCTCTGACTGTAGAGTTACGCTGGCTGATATTTGTTCTGGCTGTTGAGTTGTTATGCTGACTGATATTTGCTCTGGCTGTTGAGTTATGC